TAATAAAACTTTAACTTAGTGCACTAGGAGGAGAGATTTATTTTACTCTTGATCTTCCTTCATCCAGGAAACGGATGATCTAATCCTAATCAACATTGATAATGGAAGTGTTTCCACTTCTTGTTCTGACACTATTGACCTACCAGAGATTCCCCCGGCTGCTGCAGACTGCTTCATACAGAGGTAATCATTGTAATGCTAAGAGTAATACAGCTACTGCTCATTTCTAGTACTACTATACAGAAATACAAACAAACCACAAAAGCAGCATATGGATTTGGACTTGGATTGTAGATGGACAACTTTACTGATCCAGTAACTTTTCCCAAAATTTCAGAAGAGATATGAATATGTTTCTGTTTGTTTTTACAGTATGAGTGTGTTTTTGCAGGTGTCAGTCCCTGAAGATACATTTTGACCTGTATCAGTGCCACCATGCAAGCTACACTGACATCAGTGAGCAGCGGGCACAGAGAAGAGCATGGCAACAAAACCTCAACCACGACATCCAGAGGATCACACTGGAACTGATTGTCAACATATTCAGGTTGTGTGTGTGTTCTTTGTGTACTGAGATCTAATGGGATGGTCCTTCTAAAAATATATGTTTTGTTAATATATACATGTATGTATATAACAGGGATGTTAGCAGTCATCTGAACTATGAACATCGAGTTTTTAACAGTGAGGAATTCCTGAAAACCAGAGAGCCAGATGAACAGCTTTTTTACAAGAAGGTAAATACTAACTTGGTAAAACAATTTTTTTTCTATTCTTTTAACTTGAATGGCTGACAAATTGGGATGCTGGGCCAGGTGCTCATCTTCAAATTAACATGGCTGTGTTACAGGTATTGGAGACACACATCTTCCACTTCTTCCTCAAGGATCGTCTCAACAGGAAAATGGACAACTTTGCTCGACTGGAAATCAGCACTCGTTCTGAAATGCAGAAGTGAGTTATTAAATCTAAAAAGACTCAAAACCAACTGATGATATTCATAAAGTTCACCACTTTTGCGTGTCCTCTAATTGGTATAAATAGGGACACCAATACATGGTCACATTGCAGGTACACCCACAAACTGAATATACTGGGCCAGTCGAACAGTTTATATGTTTATATTAACTGACAACATATTGATGTCCGCAGCTGAGGCGTGGTAGCAAATAACAACTGCACTCTCCCCTAACTTTATGAAAAAATACAAATCTATATCTTCTTGTGGTGTTCAAGCATGGTTTCTATCACATGTCATGTAGGATGAAGGCTACAGTCAAAGTTCCACTCAGACCCACCATGCAGGAGATTCAAGACCGGAGAAAGAGCTCTATTTCAGAGAGCAGGCTAGAGCGGAGCAAGAGATTGGGGATGAGCCTCCCTAACCTTCGAGATAACCAAACTATCAGCTTCCAAAAAAACACACCTTTGACCAGGTTCATCTTGCCTGACCATGGTGAGACCAGAGAGGATGTTTAGGCACTACAGAGGCACAAACTGTCAAGATATAGACAAAGTAGCTGGAAGAAATTAAACTTTTCTCTGTTTGTCTCCCCTTCTTGCCTTGGCCTCATCCTCCTCCCCACATTTTCTCCCTCCCTGCACTTCATATGTCTTTGTCTACTAGCACTGAGAACTACTCCTAAGCCAGTAAGAGTGTTTCAGCTCCCAGATTTCCCAGTCTCTCAGTCCTTCCACTCTATCCAAAGTTATTACAGTGAGCTGATCCAGCAGCTTGGCAAGGCCATCTTCTCTGTCCAAAACGAGAAACCTACTCTGCTGGCCAGGTATTGTGTTTTTATTATTCTTTTCTCTCTTGTCACTCTTTCCATCCTCTGGTCTGGTAGCATTTGTAGTTAATTTTTTTCACTTTCAGTTATTTCCCCCCTCCATTCCTCTTGTTATTGATCTTCTTTATTCTGTAAAAACATGTTTGCGCTGACTCCAAAGACTTGAGTCATTCAATAATTTTCCCCCTGCAGATTCTATTACTTGCGTGGTTTTATCAACACATTGTGTTTGCGGCGGCTGGACGCTCTGGGTGATTTCCAGAACCTCTACAAGACGGACACCGCCATCTTTCCCACACAGCTGGTGACATGGCTCGTGGACTCACTGCACCGAGACGAGAGACAGCAAGCTGACAGACGACCTGAACTTAAGAGACTCATCCTGAAGGTCGTCGGTTAAACAATCCTTATTCCCATCTTGTATAAGTGGTGGTTGAAAGGGAAAACTCAATTATTATAGGCAATGTGTTTGGTGAAAGTCTGTCTCT